ATAAATATAGTTGAGAGAAAAAATAAGTTAAAAGAATTCTTGGTGCTTGAGAAACTCCTAGCTTGATGGATCATTGAATAAGAGATATTGAAATTTTAGCTTAGTAACAAATGTAGTTAGCTCTCACCAGGCCAAGCCATGCTCTCTAAGGGGTGACCTGAGCAATGTGGTTTATGAGGTGTCAGAAGAATCCTAAAGGCCTTCCCCACCAGCCTGCCAAGGTGCCTAAAGTTTCACGTTGTAAACTTACTTGTACTAAGGCCTTACAACACCTGCTTCTTCTCTTTCCTGAGAACCAGTCCACTAGGCAGTTCTCAGGGGTGAAGAGCTTCAGTTAACTTACCAGTCTTTTCCAAATTGAGATATTTCTCCTAAACAAAGGGAAAGTTTGAAAACAGGGAGGGACAGGCTAGCATCTCTGGCTTAAAGACAGAGAAAGCAGGCAATGCTACTCAGTGGTTAAGTGCAAGACTTCAGTCCAAACCCAGTTCTGCTACCTGCTAGGTAAGTGATCCCTGGCTGGTTACTTGTCTTCTACGCCTCCATTTCTTCATAGAGATAGCAAATGACACACTGCCAAGAGGACCTGCTTCAGTGGAGCAGTGGAGAATTAGAAGACTCAGTATACAACAGGCCTTCCAAAAAGTGCCCCACCCACAAAGTGAGCCACATAAAAATATTCTTGTCACTATTAGGAGAGGGTGACTTACTATTTAGGGCAGAAAGGAACCAGTTTGGTATTACTACTTGAGGTCTCTCTGCCTAATCTACTGATGAAGCTTACAGGAGGTCCAGAGGGGCTGGGCAGCTGACCCAGAACTGCAGGAAACTTCCTTAAGAGAAAGAGGAAGATGGGGCTGTGGGAGAGGACAAACAGCGAGCTCCAGCGCATCCCTCTGGAGATGATGGAACCCTGGTTCTTGATGGCTTTGCTCCCCTCCCAGAGGATGTTCCACGTCCCTACGAGGTTGCGCAGTGCCTGCGCAAACGTCCCCCTTCTCCGGCGCGCCCCCGCACCCTCTCGCCTGGGCGTACCCTGGAAGGCTAGCGGGGCGCTGAAACGTGCTGCTCCGCTGGGAGGACGAGTCAACTGCAGGGTGGACGGGAAAAGTGACACAATCGGGCCGCGGCGCCCTGCGCGCCAGCCTCCCACGCAGCCCGGGCGGGCTCGGACCCCTCGGGGGTGCGGGTCGGGGTGGCGCGGCCCTCGGCTGCCCTCCCACCCCGGGTCCCTCGCGCTCGGAGGCCCGCACCGGCCCAGCCTCAGGCACTTTTCAGGAACGCGGCGGCCGCGCGGTGGCCGGGCCAGCTCCCAGGCCCTCCGTCGCCCCCAGGAGCTGGATGACGGAGTCTTGAAAGACTTTCACCAAATATGGGCCGGGGCTGGAAACGTCCTGTGCCGCGGGCCGCCGGAAACCCCGAGTCCTGCCAGCTGCGGGGCCGTGGGCGCGCGAGCCGGGCGGCCGGCAGGGGGCGGCGGCGGCCGGAGGTCCCCGAGCCTGCAGCCCGCTCTCGGCCTCCCGCCGCGCGGACCCGGTCGCGGTCTCCGCCGTGATCCCCGGGAGGCCCCAGCCCTACCCGCGCGTCTGCCCTTTGCTTCCTGCCGCCACCACAATCCCCGCTTTCCTCTGAATGTCCTGGCGATCTAGCGGGGGAGGACAAGGTGTGCGTTTAAAGCTGGCCTCCTACAGGCACCATAAACTGTTCTGTTTATGAAGGTAGCTGTAAAAAGTGCAGTTGTGAGAGTGTGCAGGCGAGTATCTGACTATGGACACACGCAGGCACGCGCACACACGCGCACACGGCGATCGCAGGCACTCCTGTCGCTCCCGGCAGTGTTTCTCAAACTGTGATCCCCAGAACAGCAACATCGTCACCACCTAGGGGCACTTGTTAAAATGTCATCAAGGAGAAGCTCTGAGGTTGGGCCTGGCGATCCGTCTCTCGGCTGGCCCTCCAATTACTTCTGATGCAAATTTTAGAACCACTGGACTAGGGCTAGGAAACCGGGGCCGCCAGGTTTAGGGTTATTGCTACTCTCAGTTGCTGCCAGACAGTGAACCCTTCTTGGGGTAAATTCAAAGTCCCAAAATTCACTGGCAGCTGCGAGGAAACGACTTCCCATCGCTCAGTCCAAAATCAGGAGCTGCAGGAGACAAGCAGTCCTTTCTCCGCGGCTTGCAGCCCAAGGAAACAAGTCGGCGGCCCGTTATTCCCTCCTGGGGCGTCCGCGTGGAGAAGAGTGGGAGGGGAAAGTTAGCGAAAGCCCCATGCGGAATCAGCATCCAAAGCCACACTTACCCGTAGCAGTTGAACATTTCCTGTCTTATCTGTCAACGTAAACCGATCTCCCGCTCTCAGCGAGGAGGCGAGAAGGCGACGGGCCGTCTGGGATTTCTGGACTGCCCTTGGGTAGAACGTGAGGAGCCGCTGTTCCTCTCACTTGATGCCGTTTACTAGTAGGAGCACCAGGACATCTTATGTGGAAGGGCTGTGTGTTGTGCACACAGGTTACACCAGTCTCACCGGCTCCCCTACCTCGAGACCCTGTAGCTGCAGCTTCCCACCCGGTCCTATTACACACCCCCTGCTTTACATGGGCGATTGATGGTGAGTTTCTCCGAGTTTCTCCTCTGGAGGAAACTTCTTTTCCAAGATTCCCAGTTGAAGTCCAGAAAAAAAAAAAATAAATAAATAAATAAATAAATAAATAAAACCCACACACCCTTGTTAGAAAATTTTAATCCGATTTTTCAAGGAATCTCCGGAATGGTGTGTGTGCGTGCGTGTGTGTGTGTGTGTGTGTGTGTGTGTGTGTGTGTGTGTGTGAGCATGGTACAGCAGATTGGATCTCTTCAGGAACAAGATATATAATGAGCAATTGGATCATCCACTGTAGTTTTATTTTAAATCGTGATAGACATTGCGTGAAAAACAAGGAATTCCAAAGAATTTCCTGCTCTGGGAACAGGAGTTAAGTCTATATTTAACAACATTTGAAGCTGTCAAGAATGCTTTGTGGTTGGATAACAGAGGCAGAAAAATGTTAAAAACGCAGGCTACTGCTATACCCAAATATGGAAATATTGTTACGTCTGGTGTCTGATTCACCATCTGGAAATACTTACAACCATGAAGTCAAATAGAAAAGACGCCACAACAGAAGCGAGGAACCCTCCTTTCTATTCTCTTTCTCTACCACCTCCTCCTGCCCTATATTGTGCCTACTCCTTCCCCTCCCCCACCCTGTAACAAGGAACAATGCAATGCTAAGACAGGAAAAAAAAGTTTTCTAATTAATAATTGATGAATTGGCTTGCAGTGGGAGGCAGAGCTCAGACTTTTCTCCGTTTATTTGCATAACACCTGACAAACCATTATCTTGAAAAGTCCTCATCTCCTAGAGCCTCACAGATCCTATGCCCTCTAGCAAATACCTCTTGGAGTTATGAAAGAGCACTTTTGAATGAATGAACTTAACTCTTTCGGCAACAGTTCTCCTTGGAGTGTGTTCTCATCCCAATAGTTTCTCATCCTGCTCATCAGAACCATTCACAGAAAAGTCAACACTGAAGGCCTTTTAAGCAAACCTGCCTAAACTGTGAAGACTGAACAGCTCTGAGTATTTTTTTTATAAAGAGCCATTATCTTAGAGAATATGCAAAAAGGGAACCTGAAATAATTTTTAATTATAATTACACAGCACAGTTGTTGAAACTTTCAGGGAAAGTTCATCAATCACACTAATGGTATTGGTGATATTCACATAATTTGCTTTGTTGAGAGTGCTTGTGTGTGCCTTGTGAGTAGAAAAAGGTCTTTAAAAATCTGTTAACAGTTTTATTACACATAACAAGGGTTAAATCTCTTGTTTCTTACTCGGAGAAAAAGGCATTGCAATTCACTAGAAATGGAAGGCTTCCAAGTGGTCCCAAGGAAAGCAGTTAAAGACCCCGCAACCTTTTCAGCTTTAAGTAGTCTGCTTTTTTCCACAGATTCATCGGGCACGGTGGTACTGCTGGAATCTGTTTCGGCCTGGCAATATTCGCAGGTGATGACTTCGGGCCAAATCACTCCACGGTGGTCCCCTCGGCTCCTGGCTGGCTGCTCAGTTCCCACCGCCGCCTGCCCGCGGAGGGAGACAGGGAGGGCTTACTCCGACTCCCGCGTCCGTGAGGAAGTTTAAGTCAGCCTCCCGGAGAACTCCAGGCGTTTGTTTCCTCTTGGACTTCCAGCCCAGGCAGTGGGCTGGAACTAAAGTGGGAACCTCCAAAAACAAACACGTACAACATACCAAAAAAAGGAAGGGAGGGTGTGGAGGGGGGGAAGACCTCTGCCTGGGAATTTGCCAGAGGAAAAGGGAAGTTGACCCCCCCCTTCCCATTCATAAATGCCACTATGGGTATTAATTTGCAATACACTTAACTTGGCTAATAAACATGCCTAAGTTTTGGGACTTGATCCGATCATGCCTGTTTGAAGTCCACAAATAGATTCCTGGCTAAGAGACACATTCCCTCTCCCTGTGGACTTTCTCCATAGATAACCTGACTCTCACTTCGGTCGTAAACAAGAGCACTGCTTCTCGCTTTCCTGGGTGAGGGCTTCCGTGGTTGCCCATCAACAGGGCATCACCAAACAAAATCACTTTTATTCTTTCACCCACCCTCCCAGTCCAGGCAAGGTTCTGAACCGCACCCGCCCCCAAACCCGAACCCGCACTAGCTAGGGCCCTTTCATCACTGTCACAAACGTCACACCCAAAAGATTCCTCCCCAGTGGAAATCATTATTTAAAGTGGAAAAACGGACTGTTTTCTTGATGGGTTCTGGCCCCCGCGACCCCCCCAAGGTGCAATGGAGCCAGGGGAGGCGCTTGGCACCAACCAACATTCCTGAGATGTTTGAGAATTCTGGAACGCGCAGACAGAGCCGACGTCACTGCAACACGCGGCGCCGCTGCTGGCCGGTATAAAAGGCGGGCTCCGAGCGTCTGGGCAGACCGCGAGCGAGAGCGCCCCCAAACAGAGCCTGCAACTTCTGCGTCTCTCCGCCAGGCCCTCGAGAGAAGGACGCCCTCCGGAGCAGCGCGCCGCCTCGGCCCTCGCCCCAGCCCGCCTGCCCGGCCCTTCGCCCCAGCCCGGCCCACCGCGCCACCTCCTTGGGGCTCCATCCGCCGCGCTCTTCCCGGCTCCTCCTGCGCTCCACAATGCACTCCCGCACCGCCCAGGCGCTCGCCGTCACCGTCACCCTTCTCCACTTGGTCAGGCTGGTGAGTTGGACTCTCTTGTGCCACCACTTTCCCTGATCGCCGTCCCAGCCCGAGCCAGTGTAGCAGATTGCCCCACGGTAGACTAAAAGGTTTGGGGGGTGTTTGGAGCTAGCTGTTTCTTTAAGCCCCCTGAAGACGTGTCAGGGGGCCTCTTAGTGAGCTCTGTGGCCGGGGACTTGAAGCTGGCTGGATGGGGATCACAGGCTCCTAGCCCGCAAAATCAGTCCTGCGTCCCTTCCTGGGGCAGCTTCGGCGCCTCTCCAGCGCACGGCACCGCGTCTCACGCGCCTCCTCTCCCGCTTCCAGGCGCTCTCCACCTGCCCCACCGCCTGCCACTGCCCCCTGGAGGCGCCCAAGTGCGCCCCTGGAGTCGGGCTGGTCCGAGACGGCTGCGGCTGCTGCAAGGTCTGCGCCAAACAGCTCAACGAAGACTGCAGCAAGACGCAGCCCTGCGACCACACCAAGGGGCTGGAATGCAATTTCGGCGCCAGCTCCACCGCTCTGAAGGGGATCTGCAGAGGTAAGATGCTTGTGGTTTGGCCCCTTTAAAAAAATAATAGTCCCCATAGTCCAGAAGTTTAGTAATTTTGAGACCATGTATGGTGATGCTTTGTTGTTGGTAGCTTGGCAGAAAGGCACATGATTTCAGCAGTCTGGAATGCAATTCAGTGTGTCTGGGCCCAACGAAAAGCGCATACGGAAAAGTGATTCCTGACTAACTTATTGTTCTGGTCTGGAGTCTCCGGGGAATTGTAGGGAACTTTACCATAAATTGAATTTAACAGCAGAAAATTTGTATGAGTTTCAAGTCATGGTTGGGAATCTTAAATTAATCTCTCTCCCTTTCTCTTTTTGGTGGTCTTTCCAGCTCAGTCAGAGGGCAGACCCTGTGAATATAACTCCAGGATCTACCAGAACGGGGAGAGCTTCCAGCCCAACTGTAAACATCAGTGCACATGTATTGATGGCGCCGTGGGCTGCATCGCTCTGTGTCCCCAAGAACTCTCTCTTCCCAACCTGGGCTGTCCCAACTCCCGGCTGGTCAAAGTCACCGGGCAGTGCTGTGAGGAGTGGGTCTGTGACGAGGATGGTGTCAAGGACTCCATGGACGACCAGGACGGCCTCCTTGGCAAAGGCCTGGGATTCGACGCTTCGGAGGTGGAGTTAACGCGGAACAATGAATTAATTGCGGTGGGAAAAGGAGGCTCTCTGAAGCGGCTGCCTGGTAAGTGCAGGCTGAACTTGTTCTGAAATAATATAATCCTAGTCTAAAACTTAGTGGAAGTCTGTGTGTGTGTGTGTGAGAGAGAGAGAGAGAGCGAGAGAGAGAGAGAGAGAGAGAGAGAGAGAGAGAGAGAGAGAGAGAGAGCCTGCCTCTGAGAAGTCTTGTGTTGTATCTCTCTAGTCTTTGGCATAGACCCACGAATCCTCTACAACCCTCTACATGGCCAGAAGTGTATCGTTCAAACAACTTCATGGTCCCAGTGCTCAAAGACCTGTGGAACTGGTATCTCCACACGTGTTACCAATGACAACGCTGAATGCCGCCTGGTGAAAGAAACCCGGATTTGTGAAGTGCGGCCTTGTGGACAGCCACTGTACAGCAGCCTGAAAGTAAGTTGTTTCAGGGACTTGTAGACTGTTCCCTGGTGGGTGGGATGTGACCCTCTCTTTCAAGACAGGGAAGTACCTACCATCCTTGATTTGCTTCTACTTCTCTGTCTTACAGAAGGGCAAGAAATGCAGCAAAACCAAGAAATCCCCCGAACCCGTGAGGTTTACCTACGCTGGATGTTCGAGTGTAAAGAAATACCGACCCAAGTACTGTGGTTCCTGCGTGGATGGCCGGTGCTGCACGCCCCAACAGACCAGAACTGTCAAGATGCGCTTCCGCTGTGAAGATGGAGAGACGTTTTCCAAGAACGTCATGATGATCCAGTCATGCAGATGCAACTTTAACTGCCCTCACGCCAACGAAGCAGCCTTTCCCTTCTACAGGCTATTCAATGACATTCACAAATTTAGAGACTAAATGCTACCTGGATTTCCCATATGAGGGTGGACAAAAGAGAGAGCGAATCACAGAGAAGGATGGGGCGGTGTGGGTGGAGGGGACTCAGTGTAAAAGAGATGCCGCACTTGTTCTTGAGGGGCATGAAGGTGTTTCAGAGCTGCCGGAGGGGGTGGTGCGGATGGACACTGATGCAGCCGTGTCTGGCGAATACTTTGCTTCATAGTACTGGAGCACATATTCCTGCTTCATTTTGGAGCTTGTGGTGTGTAGATGACGTTCTGTTTTCTGTTTGTAAATTATTCGCTAAGCGTATTTTTCTCTAGGCCTTTTTTTCCTTTTGGTTCTACAGTTGTAATAGAGTTAATAAGATTAGTTGGACAGTGAAAGCCTTCATTGGTCCTTTGACACAAGTAAATGGGAAGAACTTCCATCCCTTCCTGGGGAGGACACTCTGTGAGTGTCTATTAGAGGCAGCTACCTGCACTCTAAACTGCAAACAGAAATCAGGTGTTCTAAGACTGAATGTTTTTATTTATCAAAATGTAGCTTTCCGGGAGGGAGGGGAAATGTAATACTGGAATAATTTGTAAATGATTTTAATTTTATATTCAGCGAAAAGAATTTATTTATGGAATTAATCATTTAATAAAGAAATATTTACCTAACAGCTGAGTGTGTGCTATTCAATATCTTTAGAAATATCCAGCGTTTTACTGGGAATAACCTAGCTCATGCATTTGCAGTCATTCAAATAGAATTTACCGTGTGTCAGGAATGACTTGTAAGTGCCTTTTTGGGATATGACAGTAAGCTAATCTATGAAAGAAAATAAGACAATGGCTGTCATTACACTTCCTCAGGAGAAAAACACGCATAAGAGTAATCTTTGATAAATATAGACTGAACGTTGTAGGTCACACAAGAAGTTTGAAGCTAAATTTATGAATTCTTAAAAGTCAGATCTAAGGGTCTCCATCATTGTTTGAGATTACTATGCAGACAACAGTTGAGAGGGTAGCATTTAAATTATCAGATTATTATGATGTCACTACAGCGGAGGCAAGAGAAACCCTTGAATGAAAATATTCCATATCCAGGGCTGCCCACATCTAAATCCACAGGCAGGATTGACTATGGTTGAACATTTTTTGTAATTATATTTTTCCAGTACTACTTCTCCAAATGAAGATAGCTGCTTAAAAATTCACCCTTGACTGGTAGCAGGGGAGGAAAATCCTGCAATCTTTCAGGAGTCAGTTTGTTTTCAATAAATGAGTTTGAAGCACTGTCTTGTGTTAATCCCAATAAGATGGTGATTAGGTAAACACGCCGTTAAATGTGAAGGAATGCAAGGAATTTCAAGTACTTTTCCAATGGCAAGAGGACAGAGCTACCCCATCCCCCTTCCTTTTTATAATATACATTATATTGATGGGAGAGGGAGCAGTTAGATGGAGTTGGCTATCCAGGAGGTCAAAGGCTAGAAGCAGAGCATTCTGAAAAGAAAAGGACCTGAATCATGTCCTGAATCATGGGTCTAGTGGAGGTGCAGAAGGCGGCATCAATGTTTGTGAAAATGTTGGTAGCCTGTGTGAGAAAAATCTACATCTTTAGAAAGCGCTGACAATCAACCACTTAACAGGGAGAAGTTTTCCTTTTATCCTCAGTCTTGGCCCCAGTTCAAATCTATAGTGAAATATTTCAGTCTGCACTTGGTTAGAGAGAACTTGAATTTTTAGGCAGAAGAGAAAGTGCTTTTTGAAGCAGGGAGGAAGACAGGTCCTGTGATTCTTTTAAGAGATTTTTTCAAAATAAATTAGCATTGATGAAGACCTACAAAGAGCACTAACTAAATGTCTGATTTATAAAATGCATAATGGCTAATGTAAATGTACTAGGAAAATCTATGGTCAAAAGACTGATTTTGACAGTGTTTTACCTGAAAGATTACAGCATGTACCTTCTGAATAGTCAGTTTTTCTTGCCTGAGGCATTCAAATTGTAAGGTATTTGGGATTTAAACACCACCTGGCCTAGTCTTGGATGCAGTCAAACTTGTCAGTGCGATTGTGAAACATAATAAAGGTGTGAGGTTTTGTGGTACAATCTTGTTGAACAGACATCAAAATCTGTGGACAAGATTTACACATTCACAAGCACGAGTCCCAAGGTAGTACCTTCCAACATGAGGGCCAATAAATTGCTTTTTAACAGAGCACAAGAAGAAATATTTTATAGATCCTTTAATTGCATGGAAAGGTAATATTCTTGAATAAGCTCAAATGTGAAACAAAAGCAAGCACAGGAAAACACAGGATCTGTGTGAGTCCTTAACCTCATCGTACCACATACAATAAGGGCGATGTGCAAGTGTCAGTTCTGCATATAGTAAAAGTGCTCAATTTATATAAATAAAAGATGAATAGAAGAAAATTGTGTTCATTTCATTTGACTCAAGAAAATACTGAGAAATTAAACTGCGCACACTGGTGTGTACCTGTAATCCTACCACTGGGGGTGAGCCAGGAAGGCAGTAGGATCAGCAAATGCAAGGTCAGCCTGGACTCCACAACGAGTCACTGTCTCAAGGAACCAGCCCCAAACAAACAAAAACAGAAAGAAAATACTGAGGAATTTAAAAGTTAAAAGTACTTGAGAATGAAATAACAATACTGTATTTAGAAAATGTAATTTTACCTATGTCTGGACTAGAGTTCCGCCTGCTTCAATTGCTAAGAACACGAAAACAAAAAATCATGCATCTGCATACATAAAATAGAAGAAACATTTACTGTGTTATACATGTAACCCAACCACCACTGCCACCACCATCACCACAGAGTAAAGACCTCCTCTCACATTCCAATCCGCAAGATCCTAGAGATTTTTGGTTGGTAAAGATTTAAAAACCGAGAGTTAATAGGGTGACTTCAGAATCTTAGGCACTCCATAAATTTTAAGAAATATTCTATAAGACATTTAGCATCACAGTAAGTGGTCTCATAGTGATGATGTTTCACATGAACGGTTTGCATTATCCAACTCATGGAGAGCTGCAACTGAATAAAAATTAGCAAACCATATTTTAGAGTTATTTTCCAATAGTGGGAGCAGACTGCCAGCATTATTCAAAAGTTAGCTGAGCAGTATGATCATAGTACAGAGCAAAACTGTGTTGTGAACAGAATGGCAGGGATGCACTGGGAGGAGGAATTGCTTGCTAGAAGTGAGAACCATGTCTTTTAGCACCAACTCTGCCATTAATTCACTGGGTGACTGGGCAAATTTCTGGATCATTCTCTCATTTTAAAATGGGAAAATAGCTTCCAGTTTTTTGTCAGTCCTACATCCTACCAAAAACCCTTTTTCACATACTCTCTTTGGTGTACTGGCTCTCATACCTTAAAAACTGTCTCTTCAAATAAATGAATGTGTGAAGTGAAAACTGCCCAGATCTTTCTGTGGTCAAATGCATTCATTGCCATGAAAGCTTTTGAAAATGGGACATTGCTAGACTCTCTTCATCCTCCAAAACACCCGTGGTGACTGGACACCTGCACCTCACTCTACAAGTCCATACTTTGACCTCACTATTACAGCTCTAATATACAGGCCTCATTAACCGCCTGCCCTACCAGCTGACATTTTAAAACAAAATATATTTTTGAAGCATGTCAATCATATATATGTCTTATGATCATATCATATGTACTTGTGACTCTTAACACTCATGCATGTAACCTTATAAAGTACAATTCAGCTACTAAGTACTCAGGTATGCTTATTAGTACTTTATAGTTCCCATGCATTCTTCTCACACATGCTTCTGAATCCATTCTTTTTTCCAGTGCAAGAATGCAAATCTAGGTGACCATCGTCTCTGGCCTGAATTACTAGAATGGCCTCTTCATTTGAGACATTTTATAATTTCCAAATGTAGCTGCAAAAGAATTTTCCACCTCACCTGCTCTTCTGCAATGTGGCTCTGTTGACCCATCCCATTAACGGGTGAAGTCTATTTCTCCAGCCTCTTGAATGTAGGTGAGTTCTTTGACTACTTTGACCAAATGAGTACTGAGAAGTGATTCTATGTGGTGGAGCACAGGGCAGGAGCTCCTACATCCTTTCTCTTAGAAATGAGCTTTGTGTAAGAATGTGACTCCTCTGAGACCGGCAGACCAGCCCAACCAACATGGATAATGGGTTGACATTTGGAGAAAGAAAATGTCAAGGAGTACTTCATCATATCTGTGCATTGAAGAAACCACCTTGGAAATAGGAAATTAGAGATGTTCAGTTGAGTCCTTCCCATAGTTCCTAACCCATGAAGGAGTGACCAAATGCATATGACAATTTTTAGTCAGTAGGTTTTGGTGTTATTTTGAAACATCACTGGTTTCCATTATTGTCCTCCTATCCCACTTATAGGAGCCAGAGAGACTCTTTAAAAATATAAATCACACTATGTTCATCCTTGAGGCTAGGGATGTAGCTCAGTGGTAGAGTGCTTGTCTAGTACGCACAAGGCCCCGGGTTCTATCCTCAGAACCAAACTTACAAAAGAATCTATCAGTCCTTGGTTTAAAAGAATCAGTGGCTTGCCATTATCCTTGGAATAAGATTTAGCTTCTTACTTGGCATATAGATCCAAGGCCCTGTCTATTTTGTCAGCCATTCACCATACTTGCACTTGATTTTACCTCTTCTTTGAAGAGGGCCTTTGCACTCTGGGCCTTTGCATTGATTGTTCCTCAAATGTCCATGACCTAGACTTTTTCTTGTCATGCAGATCTCAGCAGAATTCTACTTTCTTTAAAAACTTTCCTTATCACTCAGTGTGAAGCCATTCATTATGCCAAGAAGTTTTATTTTCATCATAGCACTTAGCAATACCTGGTGTGTTCTTGCTTAGTATGCCTTTTCCTCTAGAAAAACCACTGTGGGAGTAGAAATTTTTGTCTGTCTTTTCTACTGCTATAAAAGCACCACATGCCTGGTCAATATTAATCAATTTATGAAATAAATATTGTCTCAAGCTTGAGCTAAATTAGAAGTTACCCACATGCAATGTTTTCCTTCAAGTTCATTTTACACTTTTCTCTAGTCCAATATTTATTCTTATTCTCTCTCTCTCTCTCTCTCTCTCTCTCTGCCTCTCCTTCCATCTTTCTCTTTCATATATCCACTCAATAGATGTTGGTCTAATACTGCTGTATCCACTACATAGTTCAACAGTTGAGGAAAAAGCTTGGTTCCTGACTTTGCATTAAGGAGGGCATACATGTAAGCAAAAGTGCATTCATATTAGTCTCAGCTACAAGCAACAGAAAACCCTGCTAACTGGCTTCAGCAGCATAGAAGTTGATTTTTTTCCTCATATGAAAATCCGGGTAGTCAATGCAATGTTGAAATGGTACCCCAAGATTTCAAACACTAAAGCCTCTATTATCCTGTCACCTTAGCAGGTATGGCCTCCATGCCCTGCTTTACTTCATCGTGACACTCTGGCTCATCTTGTTGTAAGGAGGCTAGGGAAAGCAGTTCTCATTCCAGGTGGCCATGCACTCGGTAAAACTCTGGGCTTCTGCTGTGATAAAGGGCGTTGCAGATAGCAGAAGACAGGTAGTAGTCTATGCACAACCCCAAACAGGCTGTAACAAGTATA